TCTCTACTAGACCTCGGAAGGTTTCTCCGCACCTAGCTTGTTAAGGAATTTTATACTTTTCAATAATGAATTAATGTTTCATACGATTATATATGATCAAGTGTTTTTTAACATCCAGAGATTTTGACTGCAATCTTTTATTAATGCAGACATATAAACTATGATAATATTTTATAACATAAATGAGATTATTCAGATTCTCCCCATAAAATTATTTAAATTCTTTTCACTCTTTGTAAATCTTACATATGTAGGATTTATCTATTTCACGTAAATTTTAAAAGGTATTCACACAGATGTACAGTATTATTAAAAATTTACATAAATGTGAAGAATATATAGTTCTTGAAAATTAACTTATTGAATTATCCTTGATTTACAATTTTATGGAGCTTCAGGAAATTAGCTTTATTCATCTGTATGTATGTAGGTATCACCACCTCCACAATTAAAAAAAAAAAAACAAAACGAAAAGGCTCTTTTCCTGTGTGTGGAATAAAAAAAACATAGTAAAGGAATAGAAAATGGTCAAAGTCAAAAGAACTAAAGATTCCTGTCTGTAGAACTGAACTTATTTAAGAGGGTGCAGGGGGGAGGGGCCCTTCCTTGGGATACTGGTAGAGGGAAGCAGGCTCTCGGATGATGACTGTGGTATTGGGAAGATGCGTGTATGTAAACTCTAATTAATGTAATTGTAAATCCCAATACCTCGATAAAAAATGATTTAAAAGTAAAAGTAAAAAGACTGAGAGAATCAACAGAAACTTCTAGAATTAATCAATACTTGGTCACAAGTTTTCCAACTTTTTTGAAGATTAAATTTATAGAATTCAATTGCATTCCCACAAATAGTGAACAAATTGAGAGCTAAAAAAGTCATTTGTATTCCTACTTTCCAAAATGAAAGACTTCAGTATAAATCTAAGAAACTGGCACAAAATTTGTATAAGCAAAACTCAAAAACTGCTTAAAAAAAAAGAAAAATGAAAACATTTTTGATGTTCATAGATAGAAAGACAGATAGAGCAACAGCACAGCGGAAGGGCATTTGCTTTGCATGCAGCCAGCCCGGCTGAGCCGGGTTCGATTCCTCTGCCCCTCTCAGAGAGCCCAGCAAGCTACCGAGAGTATCTCGCCTGCGCGGCAAAGCCTGGCAAGCTACCCGTGATGTATTCGATATGCCAAACACAGTAACAACAAGTCTCACAATGCAGACGTTACTGGTCCCGTTCGAGCAAATCGATGAACAATGGGAGGACAGTGAAAGATAGAAAGACACATTGTCAAGATGTCAAATTCTTACCAATTTGAACTGAAGCACACACTTCAACACATCTAAGCTTCAACACTTAGAAGATGAACTAAGTTGGAGGACTAAAATATCCAATTTGGATATTTAATATCAAGTTAAAGTAATCAAGACTGTAGTACTGGAGGCATGAATATACAACTATATCTGGAACAGAATATCTATAAAAAACAGTCAGCTGATCTCTGGAAAAACTAAAAAAGGCTATGGAGCAAAGGTTGTCTTCAGAAAATGTTACTGGCACAACTAGATACCTATGAAAAGTAAAATCTAAAGACCTTACAGTCTCATAAATTAAAAACCAATCAGTGACCTAATTATGAATATCAAACTCTTAGAAATTAATACACAAAAAATTTTATGTGACCTTATAGATAAAAAAAATGCCATGATAAAAAATCAGAATAATGATTTCTGATAATCAGAAATCATTAAATTCCTCTGCTCTGGAGAAGACATTTATCAAGAGAAGAAGAAATGTCAGACTGAGAGAACATCGTATCTTATAAAGCACCATTACACAAAACATACAAAGAATACTCAAAACTCCAAGAGAAGAAAATGAGCAGCCCAATTACAAAATGGACAGAAGGCCTGAACAGACACCTAAGCAAAGAAGATAAAACAGATGGCAAATAGCATATGCAAAGATAGTACGTTATTTTAGGGAGTTATAAATTAAACAGCAATAAATTACCAATGAAGTACTACTCGATCACGACCATTCTGTTATTCGTCGATTGCCTCGAGCAGGCCCCAGTAATGTCTCCTTCGTCCTAGCCCTGAAATTTTTTTAAAAAGTGCCATATTCAAGGCTTTTTCAGAGTTAGGAGAATGAGACCCATCATTGTTACTGGTATTTGGCATATTGGGCACACCATGGGGAGTTTGCCAGACTCTGCCGTGTGGGCAGGTTACATTCGGTAGCCTGGCAGTTTGTCCAAAGTAGGACTGAGATAATAAGATGTCACGCGGCTGCGAATGTGGCCGCGTGCTTCCGGAAACTGGGTTTTATAGTCTCTGAGTCTTGGCCGTTGATGGGATTACATGGCGCCAGGGGGCCAGTTGGTGGGTGTGACCCCTGCCTAATGGAATTTGGAGGATTTGGGTGGAGGATGCTCAGCCCCGATCCGAGCAAGCTTGGAGATCTCAGCCCCGGGACCCGCATGCCTTTGTTCCTCTGCCGGTATCTTCATGCGTGTGGAGAGTGGTCTCAGCATGGTGGTGACTGGTTCTGGAGGTCTTCGGCTGCCGGAGCCCTGGTTGGGGCAGAGAGGGAAACTCAACCCGCTCCCCTTCAAGGGGCCCTGGCGAAGTACTACTATTACTGCCCAAATCCCAAACTCTAGCACCAAATGCAGCCAAGGAAATGGGGCAAATGGACCTCTCATTCATTGTTAGGAATGTAAAATAGCAAAGTTGGGAAGAGAGTTTAGCAATTTCCTATAAAAATAAATAAATCCTTATGATATCATCCAAAGAGCTGCATCCCTTTGGTTTTCACCCAAATGAAAACTAATAATACATGAAAACATCTATACAGATGTTTATAACATGTTTAAATTTGCCAAAAGATAAAGCAAGTGGATGTCCTCAGCAGGCAAAATTAATAAACTGGGCTAAATCCAGACAACAAAATATCATTCAGCAATCCTGCAGAAACCTTGTACATCCTTTGTTTTGTGAGGGTAGCGGGGGGTGGGTGGCGGGTACTAGGGTTTGAATCCAGGGCTTTATGCACCCATGACAAGCACTCTATGGGTAAAGCTACTTGGCATAAAGCCTGGTATTTCTCTTCAAAGAATGCTATTATAGCCCATGATGGATGAATTTACTTTCCAGGTTGCTTCAGGTCGATTAAGGCTCTTGTTTCTGGTCAATGAAGCCCAGATGTTACTGTGACCTTTGCATTAGGTATGGTAATATGCCAAAGTTGGTTCATCATAAGCTTTCCTTAATTGTAAAAACTAAGACAAACTCTTTGGGATTGATATTGACAAAACAAAAACAGGACCAGAGAGATAGCTCAATGGGTTGGAGCACAAGTCTTGCATGCAAAGGGTCCATGTTCAATCCCCTGTACCACCAGAAATGATCCCTGAACTCTCTCAGGTATATTCCCCAAATTATGTAACAAAAACAAATAGAAATAAAAAACTGGCTGAAGACATGAGTTGGGAGGATGTGACAACCCTCCCCTAGGAGTGGCTATACCCTTACATTCTTTTTGCTTAGTAGAACAGATCAAAACAAAAACTAATCTTTGTACTGATAAGTACATATCAGTACTTATCATACATATCTTTTTACTTTTCCCCAGTCCCTTGACTGAAAATAACGGGTCAGTGGATACTGCCTCCTTGTCAACTTTTTCATTTACCCCTATGAAGTAACATACTCCTGATGACATTTCTCTGCCAATTTCCATAAATGCCATGTACATGATAATGTATGTTAAACTGGCATGCCCACTGTTCCTGCTCATAAATAAGCATTGTTCTCCTGAGAAATTGCCTAAATATGTACACTGTAGGATCATCCTACCTTTACTTGGCATAAAGCCAGATATTTCTCTTCAAAGAATGCTATTATAGCCCATGATGGATGGATTTACTTTCCAGGTTGTGTCAGGTCGATTAAGGCTCTTGTTCCTGGTCAATGAAGCCCAGATGTTCCTGTGACCTTTGCATTAGGTATAGTAATATGCCAAAGTTGGTTCATCACTTATAACCAACATCCCACTCTGGTGGGGATATTAATAATGGACAAAAGTTATGTATGAAGGCAGTGAGAAAATGAGAAACCTCTGTTGTGGCATTTTTGTGCTCCATTTTGCTGAGCCAGAAAGCATTAAAAGTACTCTGAAGAACAAAAGGGAATGCCCTGCCACAGAGGCAGGTTGAGATGGGGGGTGGGGGGTGGGAGGGATACTGGGATCAGTGGTGGTGGAGAATGGGCACTGGTGGAGGGATGGGTACTAGATCATTGTATAACTGAAACCCAAACACAAAAAGTTTTAAGTTTACAACTGTACCTCATGGTGTTTCACTAATAAAAAATTTTTTAAAAAAGTACTCAGAAGTACTTTTAAAAGTAGTTCATATCATTTGTATTTTTGTTATTGCTGCAGTTTCCTTGGGACACACCCAGAGGTGTTCAAGAATTACTCCTGGCTCTGGAGTTAGGGATCATTCCTACAAGACTTGGCGGAGTATATGTGGTGCGGGGGGTCAAATCCAGGTCAGTCACATGCACCACACCTTACCTGCTATACTTTCTTTTTGTCCCCTGTCCTGTATTTTCTATGTCCATTTTTTTCTTTTCTTTTTTGTTTTTGTTGTTTGGGTCACACCTAGTGATGCACAGGGGTTACTCTTGGCTTTGTACTCAGGAATTACTCCTAGTGGTGCTCAGGGGACCATATGGGATGCTGGGAATCAAACCCGGGTCAGCCACGTGCAAGGCAAACACCCTACTTGCTGTGCTATCACTCCAGCCCCCATTTTTTTTCTTTTAACAAATTTCCACACACTAAGGAAGGCAGAGGCATAAAAGCATTGCTCTGGGACAGTGTCTCTAGCAACCCTATCTCTATCCCGTAAGTATGCACCAAATACCACCCACATTCGGCTCATTCATTTAGTAAATGACTTCCAGACCATCAGCCACTAGCCTCTGGACACCACAGTACCTGGAGGAAGGGTCTCCATGCTTTGTGCTTTCTCATCCCCATTGCTGTGATGAAGGTCTTTCTTTTTAATTGGGTCAATTTCATTCCAGTCCTCCTAGGGGAAACAAAGAAACCACATGAGCTGAATGATTTTCAAGAATTTCTTCCTTCATAGGTTAGATCAATTAGCCTTAGAATCCAGTGGCCTCAGGACATGATCATGAGAGAGAATTCTTACGAAATCTAGATTTTCACCCTAGAACATCTCGGTGGATAATGATGCAAAGAGGAAGAAGTGTGGCATACTGCTCTTTTCCAGGGAAGGATTTTTCAACTCATATATATATATATTTGTATATATATTGAAAGGAAATATTCTGTAGACTCCGAGATCTTTCAGGATTTGTGTGGTTGCGAAAGAGAAACAGGGAAAGTGAATTAAATAAAATCTTTCAATAGTGGTTAAGTTAAAGCCATTAAAATCAGGGAGCTCTCTAGACAGCCTAACACTGGATTCTCCCTAAAGGCCCCTTTCAGCCCTCCTCGGAGGTTGTTAAATGATTTAATTCTACTGAATAACAGTGGAGGAAGGGAAAAGGACAGCTAAGTTTTTCCGAAGGCTTTCTCTAATAGGACTGCCAATAGAACAGAGCTGCAAATTAAAGGCTTAATGTGAAACCAGGATAAAATATAACTCTGGCAGAATTTATTCATCTCATCTTCACAAACAATTTACCCTAATCGACCAACATTAAAAATCAAACTAGCGACTCGATGACCATAGATCTATGTCATTCAAACACCTGAAATCTTATTTCTGTGAATAAAAATTAGTAAGGTGTAATCCAAATCAGAAATATCTCATGGCTAGTTATTATCCCATGCAAACTTGTCAGAGTTAGGCATTATCCACTGTTCATCTTTCAGAGCAGATGCTATTAGGATGATGGGCTTCCCTCAGCAGAGCCCAGCAGATCTGTGCAGATTTGTCCAGTTGGTACTCCCTCATGCCCATCTGGGCTGCATGCTGTACAAAAGCTGACCACTGGAGGTATGCTGGCTCTCTAAAATGTAAAGTGAGGCCCTGCCAAGAAAGGAATCCTCAGGGGCTGCCCTAAGTCACAGATATTTTCCCAAATGCAACTTGTTCTGCCAATAAGCTGCAGTTCTACTCCAAAGGTACAGTAATTACTCAGATCCATCCTCTTTTCCTTTGGTTGCTTTGGCAGTGATGCAACATGGCCCGATTGATCAAAGTAGGTTTTTTGTGGGGGGAGGAGTTGGCTGTAAATGAATTTTTGAAAGATTTAATTTTGCTCATAATATGATTTGGTTAAAACATATATATTTTTTCAATTTATTATTTGGCAATGATTTCATGGCGATCTTGGAAAAGTGTGGGAAAGAATCTAAGCTACTAAGCATTCCTATGATATAGGGAAATGTGTGAATACTAAATCCCACCAGTAATTAAGTCACCAGAGTTACATGCTATGATTTTTTTTGGACTGGGCGGAGCATACCTGTCTCTGCTTCGGGCTTACTTCTGGCTCTGAGCTCCGGGATCACTTTTGGTGGTGCACAAGGACCACCAGGGGTGCCAGGAATTATACCCAGTTGGAATATATATAAGGCAAGTGCCTAATTCGCTGTCTCTGGCCCGAATACTCTGTAGACTTAATTAAACACAATTTGTCTTTTTTGGGGTATCTTCCTCCTACTAGTCTATTGTGTCTATTAATTTTTACCCCACAGGAATTTGGCCTACTCCAACTGTCAGCTAATGGATCAAACCACTTAACCTTCTACTCAAATAAAATCAAAACTGAACATTGCTGGTGAAGCTATAGGCTTATACAGTAGTGCTCACCAAATGGATATTCATGAATCAGTCAACATTTTTCTCAGAAAATAAAATGTGTATTTCTCCCTACCAACAGACTGGTTAAGCATTTTGTCCAGGTTACCCAATGCCCCTTCATAAATCAGGAAGGAGATGACAAAACTTAAGTTACAAGAGTCAGATAATTTCTACAATGTCGTGAGAAACATTTCTAGGCTGTCATTCACAAAGGATCATATTGCTCTGGACTCCCAAGTCAAACAATACAGATTACCTTGCTACCTACACTTCCTAAAGTAAAAAGAGGAGGGGGGAAGAAGAAAAAAAAAACAGGCAGTAGATTATACTTTCAGAGATCATCTTTACAGTTTGTTACCAGAGAAGTTTCCCTGATTGTGCAGAGCACCTGAAACCACAAGGAGCGTGAAGGTGATTCCAGGTGTTGCTTTTGCAATTGCCTTTTATCACTGATGAATGGTTTTCTCTTCCCTTGGAAGAGTTCAAGGGAGAGGATGTAGTCTAAGTGATTTCAACTAAAAACAAACAAACAAAAAAGAGGCAGTGGGGGTAAAACAGAGGAAAAAGAGAAGAAAGAGAGGAAGATGAGAGATGAGGGGGGAGAAGAAAAAGACTCATCATTTCAATCATTATCACTCATAGAGCCATCTATTAGATGCCAAGTCCCATCCTACACCAACAGTGCCATTACTATCCCCATTTGACAGATAAGAGGGCTGAGACACTGCAAGTTTAAATAACAAAGTACAGAATGTGGTTTGATTTGATTTGACTTTAGTTTTAGACTCATGGTTTCAATATTTCTATTCTACAATAGATGGACAAGTTTCCCTACCCAAATTAAATGGTCAACATTAAAAGTAAAACACATTAACTCTTAATCTGCAAATATGTTTGATCATTATAAATTCTTGATAATTTCTGAGTACAGTCTACCACCTCAATAGCTCACCAGTTCACCCTTCCAGATACTTGTCATTTTCCATTCTCTTATTTTCACCTAAAACGCACATTGAGAAAGTCAGTGCCTAGAGAACCTGGGGACCAGGCATTTGCCCTAAGTGAGCGTCCACAGCAAGCATAGAAAACACTAGGTAGTGAAAGCATAGCACGAGTGCTCCGTGGTACAAGGGCAGGACCACCAGCATCAGGACAGCTCCTAGAACTATGCATGTGAAGTGACTATGTAAAAAGATCTGAGGGAGGCAAGGATTAACCTTGCAAGTAGAAATAATAAGGGGAAAAAGGGGTGCAGATTCTGGAAATAGGGAACCAAATGAAACCAAGGAAATGGAAAGAGACAGAAGAGACTAAGTATTCTGAGACTTGTGTTCCAGAAATACTGCTCTGGCTTTATTTAAGATTAAGAGCAGACTAGAGAGGGAAAGAGAGGGAAGAGGTCTTATGGAGTCTAGGATTTTCTGCTAACTATACACACACACACACACACACACACACACACACACACACACACACACAAAGAGCCGCAGGTTGTACTGTGACACTGAAATTTTATCTCCCTTGTTAAACAATAACGAAACCAAATAATCCAAGTCCAGTCCTTCTGTTTAAGATATCTAAGTTGCTAGTTATTATTAGCACACATCTGCATTCGATTGGTTCTAAAAGCTCCTTGCCCATTTTGTTCTTAGAAATGAACATAAAAGACAAAGTCTTCTACTAGATCTACAAATGGAGCAAATCAGGCCACAAGTGATATTGGACAAAATACAGGAATCACTCAGTGATGTCTATTTATCTGTCATAATTAGAGAGCAACAGCAGCCCAACTTTTATTTCCAAGAAGAGAAAAGATGATTTTTAATAAAATGACATTATTTCCAGGAACAGGAAATATAATAGTTTGTTTTACTGAATGGTGATGGCATTTTCAAGTGTATATGTAGGTCTAGTTATTAAAAGAATGTGCCTAATATGATCTGCCTGTATTTCAAAGTAAGAATAAGTGAAGAGGGGTTGGCTTTGGCCCAAATAAAAATTTTATCAACTATGATGAACATCAGAGACAGGGAGGTGGAAATGTTACTGTGAGAGCAGCAAACAGGTACCACTGGCCTTAAATCAGTTCCTTTTAAGCACCAATCAATTTCCATCTTCTTGTTAAGGCACTATTTTGTCTAATCTTTCATTTCCCAGACGAGACAAGAGATCTGAGGGCTAAGCGATTTACTGTGTTATCAATTGCTGTCCTCAAACCAAGAGACTTTTTTTTTTTCCACACAGCTCCTGAGGACAGAAAATCTGCGAAGTTCTGGCCTACAGCCTCTCATGAGGACACAGTCAGGATATCAGCCACATCTGAAGGTTTTACTGAGATAAGGGGCTTCTAAGTCTGTTCAGTCACATGCCTATGGGCTAGAGGTAACCATCATACCATATCATATCTCACCAGTCTCACCACACCACACCACACCATACGTCACCACAGACTCATCCACAGGCTTGAGTGTCATTACATCATGGCAGCTACCTCCCCCTCACATCCCATTATTAATGATCCAAGGGTGAGGAATGATCCAAAGGAAGAGAGAGACAGAGAATGCCAGGACTCCTTTTATGACCTCATCTGGGTAATCACACATTGTCAAACTATTAATATCAAATGATTTCTAATGTTGTAATAGTGGAAGAAAGTCATGATCTGACCAATACTCAAGGGGAGAGGAATGAGACTTCACATTTTATTCTCTTTTTTGATTGTAGGGCCACACCTGGCTCTTCTAGGGGCTCACTACTGGCTCTGTGCACAGGGATCACTCCTGGTGAACTTGGGGGCATATGGGTGCCTGGAATCAAACCTGGGCCAGCCTTGTCGAGGCAAGTGGTTTACCTGCTGTACTATCTCTCTGACCCCTAAACGTCATTTTTTTTTAAGTCTACCTACCAGGTGTAGGGTGTCTGAATGGTCTAAGGGACCTGACTCAAGCTCTGCCTCTGCACACTGTGGATTCTGGTCTCCGAATGGAGGCATGGGTCAAAATCCCACTTCTGAGACATCTTGTTGACACCGGTGGTGAGATCAGTGCTGTAATACTGTATGTGTAAAACTCAACTACAATTCCCCAAGGACAGTAGAAACAAGAGCCAGGAGGATTGGCCCACGATTGGAAACTTGCCACAAGTGGTGGGGAGAGGGCAGTTATGATAGAGAAGGGAACACTACAACAATGATAGTTGGAAATGATCACTCTGGACAAGAATTGAGTGCCGAAAGCAGGTAAAGGGATATACAT